ATTGAGTTTTATATGTATAGGATTAAAATTTTTTTCCTGTATTCGTGGTCTGTGAGAGGCGGAGACAACAAATTGGTAGCCCGAGTGGTAGCAAATGCCAATAACAATCACCGGCTAGCAAGGTTACGAGAACTTCCTCTTTCGAGAGTTGCTTACGATAACAAACAGATTGCGAGTTTGACTCTGCTGCATATGCCAGTGCCAATTTCCCATTGAAATGAATGAAAGGTTCGTAGAGGGATTGGTTATCTCGTAGGTGAAGTTGAACTTTCAGCTTGCTTCACGACAACAGTACTACTTCCCACTGCGTTTTACTGGCCGTCGTTCTATGTTTTTTACGTACTTTTAGCGGTTTTTTTTTTGTTTCGTGCCAAAATTGTTTTTTTAGATTAAATAATTTTCGTTAAAAGTTTCATTTTTTTTTTCAGCATGTATTAGTTCGCGACCAGGTCAAGTGGGACGTGCTGATGGCTACATACTGGAGGGCAAGGAGCTCGAGTTCTATTTGCGCAAAATTCGTGCGAAGAAAGCGAAGTAAGGCGAGGACAGAAGGGAGAAGCTTTTGATCCCATCCGATAAAGCTGAAAAAAAATTTATTTGTTAATGTTTTACAGGGAAACCTGCTGTGAAAGTTTCTTGTTGCACAATTAAAACAGTAACATTATTCCACTGTGTTTTTGCAGCATTCACTGTGTTACAGAACTAAAAAATAACGCAAACTTGACAGAAATCCTATTCCCGCTGACAGACTTACCCATGAAGATCAGGAATTTGGGGTAAAGGGTGCAAAATTTGACTGAAAGGGTACGGAATTTAGCCAGGAATTGTTGGTATATGGGAATCGTAGAGTATCTAGATTCATCATCATTGCCCACTACGGTCGGTATGAGGATTTTTAGCGTAACATAGTTTATCGAGGCGTCTCGATCTGGAGTTGCATGTCTCCAGAATGCACTGTCTACTGGAAACTAGAGGTTGCCAAGGAAGAAACGACAGGGATTTGACCAATTCACGGATTTCGGAATTATCGGGGAAAAGGAATTTGCAAGGCACGAACCGATTGTGACGTCGTCGAACCATTTAAGTTTATATAGATTAATTACCGGTCTAGAAAACTGCAGAAATCAGTCAAAGAGGGGACACATATAGGTGCTAAGCGAAGTAGTTTTGAAACATATTCTCTGTGTTTTTATTAACCGAAGAATGCACTGCAGGTACTGCTGAGAAAGGAAAAAATACGGTGGA